TTTGTCTTGTCCCAGGCATACCAGGACGATGACCCCAGGAAGTATTCTGTCGCTACAGCTTTGGTCCGAGTTTTGGCAGTGAACCAGTTTCATCCGGAGTTTGACATGGCTGAATATAAAGGCTTTGTAACTGCGACAAAGAGCCCTGCCTCTCTGGTCAACACCTACGGCAGCAAAGCACTGATGTTACACGTACAAGATAAAGACTTTAACAATGTACATATTCCACTTTACTCCACACACGGGACATATGCATGCATGATGTATTTGATTTATGATGTCACCCATCAGTTCCTTTCTCCTCACAAATTGACAGGGTTTCAATCCCAAGATCCACTTCACCATCAGTCCTACATCCAATCACACAGACATCTTCCAAATCACACACGAGGGTCTTTTGATCGCCAGGACCAATCAGCTCAAACCAAAACAGAAACACTTTGTAAAGGTGAGCCTCAGAGACCATAACGGGGGTCTTTATATTTAGGCCTCCAACAATTTTACTTTGTTGAACTTTACATTTCACATCCTTTTTTTCTCTAAATAGATAAGTGTTTGGATAAGCCGTCTAATGTGCATGAAAGCTTATTGAGATAGTGAGTCCATAATTAGGCTAACCACAAGCACTGGAATGAAAATGTGACAACCCAGAAGTGATAATTCATTTTTAACATGCATGACAACATACCTTTTAATTAGTGTGTTTTGTTTAATATAATTATTCAAGTGCAATAAGAAAGCCAATTAACAAAGATTGCACTTAAATTATTTTTCACTGTTTCAGTTTAATTGGAACCGCAAGGTTGGAAATAAATTAAAACACTGTTTTGTAAATTAATCAGCGGTAATGTAAAAAAAGTTTTATAAATTAATTGACTAAAACATTCCAATCAACAAGCATGTCTCTAAACTTACCAAATATAAGCCTGAATTGATATTCATGAACATGTCTGGTTGCAAAAACTGAATATTACATTAGTGAAGCCTTCAGTGAGGCCAGTTCATCAAATTGCCCAACCCCTTATCTTTCATTAAAATGTAATTATAAATAAAGACATACAAAAAGATGGTGATGATGTGATAAAATTCAACATACTTTGCAGGTAGCTGCTGTAGACCAGGAGTCGGGTGACGCCACCTTTGCTACTGTAGTGGTGGAGGTGTTATCTGAGGGACAATCAAGTAAGGACACAATCTGCACACTGCCATTCAGTGCTGACTGCTGATCAGTCTGAACATGTCTGTCTGTACTCTGCAGTCCCTCATAGTCCACTGATGGATGACCGTGTGATCGGCTGCACCCTGGGCAAGGCGTTTTTTCTCAGCATGGTGTTCATGACTGTAATTGGAATTATAACGACACTGGGGATGTGGCAGAAGAAGAAGAAAAAGGGAATGAGGAACCCGCTGGAGAGAGGCTGCGTGGCCCAGGGAAAGCACCGCAATGTGGTGAGAACATTCAGCTATATAATCATATTTACCAATTTTTGTTGATCAGTAAATGTAAGTTTCTTAAAGATTCTCTCCTGCATATTCTCCCACAGAGCTTACGGTGGTTCCAACTGGTGAGTTATTTATTGAATGTTAATGTTGATTCATCAGTGGATGGAGTTTTCTCAGTTGTCATAGAGATGATAGTTTTTTAGACGTGACCTAAGTTTGGAATATAAAATATTAACCCCATTTACAGATGAAGGCCACAAGATGTGGTCAAAAGCTTCAGGCAGAACAAAGACCTTGCTTTGAGAGTTTTCTTGCCAAACTGATGTTTTCTAAGGAATACATTTATGTCATCATCTGAGGCACTTCATAAGTCTGGAAATAGAAATACTCACATAGTCATTGATTCTCCCACTCATTAAAAGTTAGGCTGCCTGGTTGTCAGTATCTACAAATGTCCCACTAAAACCAGGATCATTCGCTCACTTACTTTCTGCATTACAAAAGTGGTTTTCATTTCCACTGTGGTTTCTTTCTAGGCAAGTCACCCTAGTGGCATGTCAAACACAGAGGAAATACCATACAACAATGACGAACACGGAACCTGCAATCCTTCCTTCAGCTTCACAGACAACCCTGGCGTCTACACCCACCAAGACCTCCCGTCTTGCCGAGGGCCCGTTCCACCCATAACGACCACTGCACCCAACACCAGCTTCATCCCAGCTGAATCTGCGCTCAGCCCTGTGATCTTCAACAATGTTTTAACACCACCCCAAAGGTCATATAGTTTACCTACACTTCACCCGGCCTCTGAGGAGGTGAGCCCCACACATACGGCTCAAATTTCTGCTCCATCTGAAGAATACCCTGACTCAGCCACTGATACATCCATTGACCTCATTGAGGATGTACCTATCATCAGTCCTAGCCCTGCAACACCTGATAGCACAGGATCTCCATCCTTCGCCTGTCCTGATTCACAAACTACAAAAACAACAAGCAGCATTGACCCCACTGACTCCTTCACCAGCCCCTTGTCTCAGTCCAGTGTACCATTCAGTCTTACCCAAATTGCTTCAGCAGAAATAGACAAACCCTTTCGCAAGCCTCGTGTGAAGACACCTCCATATTCACCTTTACTGTCCTCGCCACTGGCCAAGCAGATGAGGACATCCCCGCCTACCCCAGAGCATGCACCTTTAAAAGCAAGGCTGGTACTTACAAATACTTCTCCCCTTGATACACCTCCAGAAACACCACAGCGACCATCTTTAACTCCAATCACAGAGGGAGACCAACCCTCCACATCACAGGACCTCACGGAGCGCCCAGGGAGGGGCTGCAGGTGCCGGGACTCAATCTCAGGTCATGAGTGGCTTTACAAACTTTGGGAAGAAGCAGGCCGGCAGCGGGGAGAGGGATGTGGCTGATGATGGAAATCCTGGAAATAAGGATGGAGGCAAGCACAAGAATGAGGATGATGATGATTTGGAGTCAGATGAAGAAGAACTGTTGAGAGTAATGGCTCGTTGTAATCCTGTTTTTATCACATTTAATACGTGATGTCACTATAATATTGTAAATTGAGAGTGAAGGGGGATACAACAGAGAATGAAGGAGGTAAGGAGAAGTAGATGACACAGACAGCGGACATGTCATCAGAAAGATTAAATGCACAAGTTCACACAATGTATACTGTAACAAAGACATAAGCATTCAACAACACACATTTATAACACATAATGTTGTTCCATTTAAACCACATTAGCCTAGATGACAGGAATGAGTGACTATGACTGCACAGTACAGGGTTAAAATAATGGCTTTTAAATCAAACTTATCAGTATAAATTGCAAATTGAAGTATCAAGGATACAATATGAACTTTGCAAGGTTAGTACAAAAAGGCAGAAGTAATCAGTATATATATATATATTTTCTTTTAATGTTTACAAATTATAATGATATTGTGTGTGTGTCTTTTTTATTAAAAGTAAATCTACATGAAATGAAAATGCTGCACTTCTCTCTACGGGATTAAAGTTTATTGCAGTTTCCAAGCAATTTACTGAGTAGTACTATTGAGTACTACTATATTTTCAAAACTGTCAAATAGTGAACACCTTTCATACTTATAGGCCTAATTTGTTATGCCTACTCTTTAAGATGCCTCCATTATTGACTTATTAAACATGAACTAAATGTGACCGGCCTACCGAAGCAGAGGAGTTAGTTTACGTACCCAACATGATAACAAACCCACCCTTCAAGATAGAAACAGATGCAAAGCTCTGTGACTTGAATATGATGCTTAAGTTGGCCTTGAGAGGCAAGAAACACATTCTGGTGATCAATTTTTTGTATATTTAAGTCAAAAAAAAGACCTTTGGTATTTTACGCGTGTGACTTTGGCCGAAAGAAGCTGCAGTGCGCCTCTACGCCTTGTTCAAAATAGGACTAAAAGCATCCATGTTCCTGGCCAAAAGAAGACAGGATAGTAATGTATAACTAGCTAACACACAACATATGTTCCAGTGCTAAATAATTTGAACTGAACTGGAAGGAAATAAACATATTTTTCACCTTGCACAACCTTCCCCCTACAAATTAAGTCATGAAAACTATTAAGATTAAGTTGAGAAAATTAATTACCATATTTTACTCTCTCTTACCTCGGGATTCCTTAGTTGCTGATAGAGAGGAATACTCTGGGGAAAGTCACAGCAAAGCTTTGAGCTAAATGTGTAAAATGCTAACATGTCACCAATGGCAATGCTAAAATGCTATGTTCGGCAGGTCTAATATCGTGTTTCCCGTCATAGCTTTGAATACTAACATAGCATTTTCTAAATAGCAGTTACACATCTGAGACTGATAGGAAATGACATTTAGCAAGTATTAAGCCATAAAACAAGCTATCGGACACATTTACATTTTTATAGTAGCTTGGGATAAAATAAAGAGCAGGAAGAGGCTGCATTCATTATGCAGTACTCAGAGTACTGTATTATCATAGGCAAGGCGTGACAGCATGTAGAGTTGTGTTCTTATCCAATTATCCAATCCACACACATTCAATACAAACTTAAACCCTTAAACATTTGAGTCTAAGATTCGTGATAAATAGTATAAGGGAACTGAAATAGAGATAGGAAAGCTTGTGTTAAGATTATCATTAGTATACAAAAGCATTAAATATGTTGTGATGCTTTATGAGAGTCATCAATTAAAAGAGTTAAGACTTGATTTATTAAAAGGGAGAATAGAGGGGAAATGATTCTCTTCAAACACATGGCAAGAGGAGGTCTAAAACAACAGCTCAGAGAACAGTAGGTCAACAGCCTGAAGGAGAGCAGGAAACCGAGCATTTCCTTAAAAGGAATAAAGCTAGAAACAGGGTTCCGATGCAACAGACGGTTTTCAACTTTACTATTATTGGTCTGTTTTTCTTTTACCATAAAAGTGTGACTAACACCCCATCACTCGTAATAGCCAATGCCATGTTAATCACACATGACAACTATACTTCAAGTCAAATGAATACAGCAGACTAAAGGCTCCGATTGTAGTTGTTTTTATTGAGACATTCTTCTCAATCACAAAAACTGGACCTGATTGTTAGAGTGCTCAGTTTGCAGACCAACAGCATATTTACAGTAAAGTCTCTAGTGAAAGGGTGGCCGCTGCAGTGAGCCTGTAAAAAAAACATTGTCATATACATTATAGTATACCATAAAAATTCTCAACAGTGGTTATAAATGGTGATAATACAAGCTTAACAAATACATTTAGGAGGGGGAGGTGTTTGTAGGGGGGGGGATGCTTTTTTTTTCATACCACTTACAAAACAGGACAGAGTTTTTTGCTTGGCACACAAAATAGTTAGTTCAGCTGAATTCAACAAAACATAAAAAAATTGGGAAAAAGGTCAAGAATACAAGTAATATATGTACACACAGATTCACACGCACACACACACTATTGAGGTTACGAAAAAGAAAGAAGGCAGTGTTGCGGACAAAGCATCCATCAGCCCTTAAATCATAAATTATTGATTCCTTCAACTAACACACAACGCGTCCTTTTGTAGGACCCACAGCTTGTGTTAACATGGATGCTTTGGGGACCAGTATAGCAAACACAGCGTGGTCCCACTGATAATACTGTACTGCACTAGTCCAAATAGTCTTCATCGTCACTGGAATCTAATATTTACTCCTCGTTCCAAACACCCTTTCCTGCGGCCATACCACTTTATGATCAACAAAGACTAAAAAAAACAAAGTACAAGTGAATCTGCAACTCCAGTATTCAGTTTGGGCCCGATTGTATGATTAGACAGCAGTAAAACAAATTCTACCGTCTAGAAATATGCTCTTCATATTCCAGTGCATTGCAACAAAACAAAACTTGTGTATACTGCAAAATACAATTTGATCTATAAGGGTTTTATAAAAAAAAAAAAGGCTATTTCATTTAATAGAGAAACCTATTGTCACCTAACACTGTTTGTTCATTGCCTGACCTAGAAATGGAAGAGTAGTGTGTGGAAGCAGAGCAAAGGCCGGCTAAATATCCCAAACCAACACAAACGTCAGCATGAGGTCACACTGTTTATGTGTAGTGTAAGTGTGTGTACAATGGGACACATTCAACAAATCAAATAAATTATTGTCCGTGGTTTTGGATTAGACAAGCTCATCTTGTTTGAAAAACTCAAACTGCTGTAAGAGGAGTAAGATGAACACAGTCTGTGGAAGCCGAGGATTTTAGAACTCGTCGTGTCGAGTCAGAGCCTCTCCGAAGTCGGTCGCCTGGCTGCCCACAAACAGATCGTACTTATCCACGATTTCTGCTTTGGTCAGACGTCCGTCCTGAAGGAGTGAGATTTAAAAATCACGATAAGCCTTGTCTTTGTGTCAGTAGTACACAAAGAATGTTCCCAATATATGGATGTTCTTATTGTCATTATTGTAGGTATTTGGTATGTTTAGCATGATCTGCACTTGCGTTGTGTCACTGGATGGCTTGGTAATAATAATACAATTAAAAAAAATAAATAATAATTTCAATCATACTTATATCAATATAAACTTGAATACTTACTGTTCTTCTTTGTTTCAATAATACTGAAATAGTCATTGCAATAACAGACAAATCTAACACACATGTTCTCAGTATTGTGTAGTCCTGCAGTACAATCATTCAAACAGACTAATTTCGAAGTAATGTAAGGCACACTTTTACGCATGCATACTACTTTCCCTCAATATTGAGTAGAGGAAAATTGTGAGGACAATTCCACAGTACGTACCTTGTCTGAATCCGACTCATAGACCAGATGCTTGGCCTCTGCGTCAGCATGGTCGTAGTCGCTGGGCAGGATCCAGTCTCTGGTTTCCTCCTTGTCCATCTTTCCGTCTTTGTTTTTGTCTCTGAATTCATTAAACTGTTCCCTCTCTGTCTTCACCCATTCAGGTTCTGTCGAGTCTCCCTCCTGGTTGTACATGTCCCCTACACCACAGAAAGATGGTGATGATGATGATGATGATGATGATACAATGCTTCTTTAGAACAAGTTCTTATAGTATTTGGTGTATACTCATTTCATAAGGGTTCCTTCAAAACTCACACTTTTTAACATTGTATTCTTTATCTGTCTAGGTTTGCCACTAACAACAACAACATGTGGTACAGAGTGATGATGCTTATATGAAATTGGGCTTTACAAACTCACCTATGTACTCATCTAAATCAATTAAACCATCTCCATTCTTGTCAATGTCTTCCATTGTTTCCTATAAGAAAAGAGGAAACCACATCGCATTGAAAGGGGTGTGAAGCCGTTATTGACATCATTAAATCAGAGTTTAGTTTCCAAGTAGGTTTCTGTAAGAGTCAAACACGATATGTAAAAGGGAACAATTACATTGTTTGAATTGCATCCACAAACCGTGCTTGTTTTTATGTGAAACAGTGCATGTATGTGGCGCAAGACTACTGTCAGAATATATTCTCATAATAAGGTGAAATCAATCTATTTCACGCCTGTGTGTGTTTGTCACTTACCAACACTACAATGTCCTTCATGTGGTCGTACTCCTCGGGGTGAAGGAAGGCTGTGAACTCCTCCTTGTTTGCTTTCAGGTCATGGTCTTGGTCAGCCATTTTGAATCTCCTCTCATCGCGATCCATCATCTGCCTGTAGCTGAAGCCTTCATCAGGGTCGGGATCATCTGCAAGTCACAGTTAACAACTTTTTATAGCATATGGAAGTGTGGCAAAGCAAATGTGTGTCTGTGTCCAAGCAGTACACGGGTCAGGGATATAGCAAGTGTATATAAAAAGATTTCCTGCAGCCGTACCAAGAATGTAGCCATATGTGGCGTTCCTGTACTCTTCCCAGGACACCATATCATCACTATTGAGGTCATGGCTCTTCCACTGTCGATCCACATCATCGTAGATCCATTTCTTCTGGGCATGCTTGATCCACCTCTTCATCTCCTCAGCTGTCACATAGCCATCCTTATCCTCGTCTATACGCTCAACCAACATGCTGTTAGGAAATAAAAGAAAGAAACAATCAGCTTCCCTCATACGACATTTAGTGGTGTGTCACCTCATATGAATTTAACTGCTCCTAGAGGCCAAACTAGGTATTAACCAAAGAGTCTTCATGTATTCACACAAATTCAGAAACAGATTTGCAAGATATTGCTGTCATGTATTCTTACCCGAGCCTCTCCTTGCTCTCCTCTGGTGTGAGCTGATCAAAGGACTTGGCCTCCTCTTGTCCCAGAAAGGCTTCATGGTCATAGTCAAAGTTTTCGTTATCATCGTGGTCTCGGTTGCTGAGGGGTTCGTCTGGGTGAACACGTTCCTTCTTCTCTGTGGGTTTGCTGGTGGCATACACCACACAGAGAGCAAAGCACATCACAAGTGGTCGCAGCTCCATCCTGTGTATGTGCAAACGTCTAGAAGAGGGGTAATACAAAAGCAAACAACCAAAAGCTATGATTACTGTGCTCAAACAGTGCATTCTGATACAAATGGTGCATTACATACAAGGAGGACAGCCCTATAATCTTGGTTTGTCATACACTTTTAAAACATTTTTTTTATAACAGCTTTTCACTTTAGGCTCCTGAACTCTACACATGCCAGTTTAGAAGTGGATGACTCAATGCAAGCACATTCCTAGACTATGAGGTTAATTGCTAGGCTAATCTGTTCAAGATGATGCAATCCCTTACTTGCTCAAAGTTTGGTACTTTCGTACTTTGTGGAGGTTGATTTCAAATATATTACATTAACACATCAGATAAACACATTACAAAAAAACCATTAAAAAACATATACGCGTTATTTAACTGAACTTGAATTTGGAATATATAATAATGCTATAAATACAATAGCCCTGAAATAAAACATCCTATGTCCGTACAAGTGATGCTTTTAATGTTGCGTTTAGCCTTTTTTGTTGTTGACATATACAAACAATATTCAGAAACCTGCTAGCTAAACAAGTTGTGAGACTGCAACGTTACTGTAAATATAACAGCAGATATATTTACTGTTTGGAGGGGGGTGTATGTTGGTCTAAATCACTAACTTAATGACCGCTAACTTGTCTGCTTTCGTGTACAGTATCTGTAGTCTCACTTTTGCACGTCCTGACACGTTACATCCTGCCATTGCCTTTCTAAAACGCGTCACTAGCACATACTGTATATACATATCTTTATAAACAGTCTATGGTGGTCAGTCACAACAGTTTGAGACTGTTACCGTCCAACATTGAAGGTGTTTGACAAAAATTAGACTGGCTAGCCTAGCGTCCCGTTAGTTTTTTTTTACCTGATGACCTGCATTTCCAATCGTCCACTGAAAAAATAAGCAATAATGAGACACTATATACTGTCCGTATTGAGTCTTTCTAAACACTAGCGATAGGACGGACACATTTCAGCAACTTTTTGCATTTTAAACGAAATTCCATCAAGAGTACTCACCGGTGTATTCAGGGAACTTCGTCGATGCAGTTTAAGACCCTCCTACCGGAAACACACCCATGCACTTCCTGTGCTAAAACACCAGCTGACCAATCAGGAGCCGAGAAGGAGAGTGCCATGTCGCTCGCTCACTGGTCGACTTCAAGGGAACACCGGTGATTGGATTGGCCGAGAACCGCCACGTCCTCAAAGTCAACAAAACTTGGTTCATTCATAAAAAAAACTCAGTGTGTGACAGGTATGCTCCACATCAGCAGCCCAGCTCCATCGATTGTATATAAACGAACCCTTTATATACTTCGTTAACTGTTTGTTTAACCGTCACATATTTCTAAATGTTTTAAGATGTGACGGAGCAGGGTGTACTTTTATAAGAGATTAGTCTGATGTCTGTGTTGTTTTTAGAATATGTGTCATGGTGGAACACTTGATTTTTGATCCGCATACCAAATCTACTTACAGGTAAAAATAAATAACCTGACAAACTGTTTGAACCTGGTTAAATGTAATATTACCTCTGATTATGCATATATATTTAATATATTTCACGTTTTCATTTGGAATCTACCACAAATGTTTATAACTTTATTATATGTGATTTTTTTTCTTTACTGTGCATAGGATCATGAATTGTTGGAGAAGGCCTTAGATCCAAGAATGTAATTGCCAATGACTGCTTCTCTGAAATTGTTGTGCATAAAGACCTTGAAAACGTTTTCCTCATATTATCCTAAAGAAACAAAAAGGCAAACAACATTATCTGCCGTAGAAATGTAATGTAATCCAGAACAAAAACAACGCAATGAGACCCACACTTAAAAAATAAAAAGCCTTTATTTCTGCTGTCTTTAACTTTGTAAATGAAAAGTCCTAGCAGTGCTGATAAAACATAATTTATCACAAGTCAGAAAAATATATTCTTACTCTTCCCAGGTATTTGAATGGATACATGGCATATTTTCTACTTAAACATTGCAGCTGATGCAGGTTTATCTCCCTCTGCTGGTTAAACATTCATCATGATCAGTACAAAAAATACTCAATGATATCAGAGAAGCACAATGACAGGACTTCCTGCTGCTGAGCTCAGCTCTTGGGCGACATTTCTCTGACTGCCCTTTCCAAGACCCTTCCTATGTGGAAAGAAAGGAATGTATTCACATCCCTTAAGGTGTTATTTAGCCATATTATGTTTACCCTCATATGTAAAACTTACTTATTTTTTTATTTAGTGAAGAAAAGGTATAACATGTTTCTTGAAAAGCATTGTCAGGCAACAATTGCAGTAACACTGACACTAGAGCCCCTCATATACTCACTAACTTTTTTAACTTGTGTAGGAAGGTCATAATACAGCAAAGAGTCCATATCTCAACCCACTGTTGAGTCTTCCAAATCTGTGTTTTCCATAATGTCTCCTGCCTTTCCATGTTTCTTGGCATTTTCTTCTTGATTTGACTGACATGATGTGTCCATATGTACACCACTATCACCACTTCCTATGGGAATAACACACAGAGACATATTTAAGTTCTTCAACAATGTTATGCAAGTGAATTCTTTTTAAAGACCTATTCTATCGTTGTTGGATCAAGCAAATCCTCAAAACCAGCATAGTATAAAAATGTGTGTAACAAAAGACACATAATAAATAATTAACTGTATTGTAAGAAATGAATTAATCACAACAGATTTTGCAACATGGTGTGTTTAGCAGTTTGACTGACCTGTGCTGGTTTCACCCTCTTTCTTCTCAACGAGGAATATTCGTTGCATCATCAGTTTCTTGGCGGTGTGGCACATGTACTTGAGCTCTGGACAACTCTCTGCTTTTCCTTGAGACGTGTAGGCATATTGACAAAAAGGAAAATAAATAATCAGAAAAAACACCAGAAACACAACAATAGACATTGAGAATATGTTACTTTACCTTTTGGCGGTCCCTCCTCGAACAGCACACAGGTTCCTAAAGCTTCTTTGAAAAGCGAAGGATAGCAAGTAAAACGTCTGTTTAACATCTTTTTGGGAAAAATACATAGCACCACTATAGCTTAAAGGTCACCTATTATGTAATATCCACTTTTTCCATGTCTTTTATATATAAATATGTTTCCCCTCTGCATTAAGAGATTCTGAAAGTTTCAGGAATAAAGATTCGCTCTCTTTTTGTCGTGATCCATTTATATAAAAACCTGTTCTGAAAATGAGCTGATCAGAATTTGGCCACTTTATGATGTCATAACGATTTTTTTGGCTTGTGTAACCATTAGCCAATAACCATCAAGGTAACACCCCCCCCTCCCCCTCCGTCTTATCACCTGAATCTCCTCCTAGAGCAACATTGTGTTTTTTCTAACCAAATATCTCTCTGAAGGGCGTTGGGAGTGGCTCCTTATTTTCATCTAAAGTAACAGACACAGAATCAGCACTTTTGAAACAGGGCTGAAACAGAGGGGATTATGGGATGCTACAACGCATGATCTGTTTGGTATTTGGAGCCAAACACTATCTGAGACCTATAATATATTGATGAAAAACAGTATAATAGGGGACCTTTAACATTTATATTTCCATGCCTTATATCAACAAGTAATACAAGATTTAGCAATAACTTTGAAGAAACAGTTTGGGCCATTAGGGATGACTGAAACTACAAAACTCAATCACTAACAATCATAGCAGGTTAGAACATATTTGTGGGGAGTTGCTGTGAAAGGGACAAGTTTTAAGCTGTCTGTATATTTTTGCGAGGTGTGTTGGTGTTTTCTTACCTTCATATTCCCCAGCAAACACATATTGTCCAACTTGCATCATGGGCTTGTCACTGTCAATATCCTGGGACACATGGACAAAACGTATTGAATGACTGCTGCAGTGACAGTGAGAGACATACACACTGATATTGATTTCATGAATGGTGGCCAGGCTTCTTCTCTTTCTTTATAAAAAAAGTAATAGCATCCGATATACTAACCAGTATCTTGCATGTTCCCCGACACTTGGACAGGAAGTCATTGTTGATGATACCAGAGAGCTCCACCACAACGATCTGCTCCTATACGATAAGACACATGATCATATGGAAATAAACACAGCGATAGCACTGTCTGCAAATAAAGAGGCTTTGGGTTTTTAAACATCCAAAAGAGTATGGAAGAAAAACATAGTTAACATTGCCACGAGCCTTGTCTGAAAATGAATGAATTATTTCAGAGTCCCATTGTTATTACACGCTAAGAGCCAAACCAATATTGGGAAGTGTTTCCCTAAAACTCCCACTTTTAATGTACACGTTAACCCAATAACTATGGGTAAAATACTATCGTGACTACCAATTTAAGACACCTATTCAAGCAACATGCTTTATATTTACAGTATATAGCCACATGCAGCTAATGTTTATCACTAGCTGTAAACGCTAGGTTCGTTCTTACCTCCTCTTCCCATTCATCTTCCATGTCGAAAGTCCTGAAACGTACGGGAAGGACAGCAATTAATGTAAATAAGTAATTTGGTGTATTTCTATGTACAGAAGTCTTCCATGCTTATTTAAACATTGAATATTGATTCGACAACTTCCGCGTTTGTACGGTGGCCGGGAAGCTCTCTGTGTTGTCTTCTTCAGACTCTGCTTCGCATGTTTTCAGTTACGGACAGCGAACAATGAGGGGCGCTGTTGTTCAGTTTTTGTGGCATGTTTTGTTGCAAATCCATTTATTGTGAACTGGAGAAATGGAAATAGAATGAATAACAATTCAATCTCCACCCCTCCCTGCCTGCAACCTACCAATCTACCTGATAGGATTTACAATCAATGTAAATAACATCCTACTTTTACATTTGGTTAGATGTAATTGGCCCTTCGTAGTGTATATTTGACAGTCTTCTTTCTTTCACTTTCAATATGTATATATATATATATTTTTTTGTTCTGTTATATGTTATTTTTTGAGATGTTTATATTTGATGTTTCTTCGTTTTATTTGTTACGCTTTCATTTTTACATTATGTTCAATACCTTGTTTACATGCTGCTTTGACGGCAAATGTTCCAGAAATGGGATCAATAAAGTATATGTTATCTTTCTCTTACCTACCTAGCTACCTACCTACCTGCCTATTCATTTTACTCATGGTTTAGTATGACTGGATCTAAATATTGGCTACTTGTAGACACACCCATCTACATCTACATCTAATATTAATATTACTAATGTTCTCCTGCAGGAGGCCATAGCGGAGGTGATGAGATGAGATGAAACGGGACGATGCTCTTTATGATCCCCAACGAGAAATGTATCTGTCAAAGGTAGATGCTACAAAACAATAAAACAAGCACACACATCAAACATTTCCAAAATAAAACAAGAAACAGGAGGCCAGATGAGAAACATGAATGAATCATACTCACAATAATCAAAACAAATATTAAGGAAATATTTTAACTTGTGGGGGCACGAGATTTCTTATGCCAGAAATGTATTTATTGTACACGAGCGAATTTTGATTTATTTGTTACATGGTATGTATCCAGTGCTTGAGCAAATATATTCCTGATAAATAAACATTAAAGACAAACATCTCCTAGTCTGTAACCACACATGCATTTATATCATTATATTAGCAAGACAAATGTAAAAAAATAAAACCTGAATTTAATGGGCATATAAAAGAAATTCACGAGCTCAAAAGGTTTTGTGATTCATAAACATTGTCTTATCAGATTTTCAAATACGAGGGGTGGGAATTGTACAGTATTTGATTTGTTAACAGCATTACATTTTGGCAAAAAACATCATTTTGAATGTTACAATTAAATAAAATGTGATATTGCAGTTTCTGATTAACATGGTTGGAAGGGAGAAAATGGCTGACCAATAATAATAATAATGATGCAATGTTTTCAACTCATTTATCGTTCAGTTTGTCTTTATTTGTTTTTTACATTTTTGTTTCAAAATGCTTGTCTGGTATAATGGTATATTATTCGGTTCAGGTATTATAGTCTGTAGATTTTCAATATAACACTTTTTGATTTAAAACATAATACGCATTTAATAGTCCTGATTAATTATGGTACATATCGATCCTGAAACAATATATCTCTTTTAGTTTGCTATCATCTACAAAGGGGTCAGAGATCAGGGTCAGCTGAGGGGCAGCACCCGTGGTGCTGGTTGGGATTCATTACCTCGCTCAGGACCCCTGAAGTGGGGACAGTTTTTCTCACCGAGCGCTTCACTTGAAAGACCATACTGAGCAAAAATGAAAAACAGACCAGTTTTGATTAACTGAAAACATAAAACATTTGAAAAAATGTTTAAGACCAACTATCAACTATACTAGTGGCTTTACATTTTTGCATTGTGTCTGAAAGGCAGTCAATCCTTTTTCACGTAACAGGCCGAAGGAAAGAATTATAGTAAACCTGTTTGACTCATGGCACTGGGAGTAGTGTCCTCAAATTTAGGAAATTGAGTCTTGGGAGGATGAGGGGTTCAATGCATAAATATTTTTATTCTCCTGGTTTTCTGATATTTGCATTTCCTCCTTATGAATTTGGTGGTTACTGCAAAAACATCCTCTAGGTTAAATGCAAAAAAGTGTTAGTGGAATACATGGTTCCTGCACCACCATTTATATGCATCAAAAATACTACTAGCACAGTCGTAACTACAAAACACCACAATATTTATTTCCATTAATATTTTTGCCATTACATTTTTTTGCAACGTCCATCCAGGTGCCGTAGAGCAAGGCCGCTAACAATCGTAGAGTTGCTAGGAGGCCGGCCGTATTTGTAAGTACCTGTATAAATGTAAAGCAGGTTGATGCTGAACGAACCTCACCCTCAGAGGGAGAAAACATATATTTTGAATCAGAATCAGGCAAACCAAATTAAAGGGGGTGCAAACCCCCCCATCTGCCGTCTCCCTCCCCATTTCTGGCCTATCATTTATCTCTGGACCATGGTGGGGTTGTCATGTCGACCAGTCCACAAGTTACTATGACAACGGCTCAAGGGGAAGCACTTGCTGGGGAGGTTATTGCCTCCTTGGGGATGTAAGAAGGACAGGGGGAATGTGAGCAGAGACAAAGATAGGGGACTTATAGACACCAAAAAGGATAAATGAAGGGAGAGGTCAAGTTGGAGTGTGTTAGCTGGAAGTGTGTTTGTGTGTTTGGCCTACGATAAAGGTCAGTTTGTATTAAGAATCACACAGGACGGGACCAAGTACATCAGAGTTCCCCATTGAAGCTTTGGAGTAGAAAGTTTTCTCCCTGCTGGACGAGGCCTCTCCTGTACATGATGTATCACGCTGCCTGCTCAGTGCCATACCCTGGGGCAGAAAGGGGCGGGGGCACGGGAGGGAGTGACATTAAGGACCCTCCAAGGTGTCAGATGGGTCCCCAGCTTCCCCCACATTTTGTCAAATAAATGTCATAAAGACAAGTTTGGAGTTGGGGAGCTTTTGGCTCTCCCTCTGCCTGGGGGGTATTATGGTGGTTAATTGCCCCATTAGCACTGACAGGGTAAATTGGTGGAAGGGCTAACTATATATTACAGTGAAAACAACAACCCCTGGCATACACCTGAGGGCATGGTGTGTCTTACAGTACGGCCTGTGCAATTTTGAGTGTGCAAAGACGTGTGTTTGTGCGTGTGTGTAACTTGTTAACGTACACTCACATAAGAGGTTTAATATCAGTAAAATATTAGAATTCTATTTTTATCACAACGGAAATGAATTCGCAGAGCCAGTCAGGGAGAGCGTCTCCTTTAATATCTGTGCTGGACCTTCTCGAGGCGTATAACCGGGGAGAATTATTCTTTTGTGTAAAAAGGTGAATTTATGTGATGACTGCCTCAGAGAGTACTGTGTTTTCCATGTATATGAATTGCAAACTTACTATGTGACATAGTCCTACCATGTGAAGGTAGAATTGAAATCAAATGTGTGATTGGTATTTAAGGGGCCACAAATGATTAAGCAAAAACAAATGGAAATGTTCAACAAACACAAGTGATGCAAATTAAAAATGGATGATTTGAATACTTGAATTTGCTCCATAGCCTTTTAGTGTAAATGTGTTGATGATGAAGATGAAATTGCAGTTTTCCTTTTACGTAAGGGAAGTACACATTTCATATGTAATTATAGTATTTAAATGTAACCACATGATCCCCATTTTGCTTTAGGTTAAATTATCTTTTTATTTTTATCCTAAACCATAAAAGCACACCTAGCACACCTAGCACACACACACACACACACACACACACACACACACACACACACACACACACACACACACACACACACACACACACACCTTATTGACTAACGTTAAAATGATATCACCATTCACTGTCATTGTCTGCTGCCCATAAAAAGACATACAACTGTCCCTGTTCTAACTGAAGCCATAAGAACAACTGAACAAATCCATGTAGGCGTAAACATACAAAACAGTCCCTGATTTATGTAAAACCTGCAATCTTCACTTGGTGGCATGAGCCGGACAGACAATCGCTATACACGTTTTCAAATCGTAAAATTATTATTGAATATTCTACAAACGTAGTCCAAATCATTTGGCACTACACTAATTGGCCAATGAATTGATTCTTTACATTTTGAAACCTGCACAAATGCAAGAAATAAAATCAGACGAACATGAACAACCAAATTCAAAATGTCAGTGCTCTCAAAACCAACACAACGAAATATCATTAATATTCATGCACTATTCCGATATGCCTTTGTAATGCGGTTGTTTCACGCGCCACAGTGAGCTGATAGTAGCCTTTTTGTATCTTATGTCAAAAGACAAAAATATTCCTATTGTTTTCCATATAGACTTTCACTTTAACATTTTAACCTTCACACCTTTATAACATTATATTTACACCATTCCTAAATAAGGACAATGTGAGATTGAACAATCAAGACCAAATAAAGTAAAATTATACTATTTGATCTTACAAATAAATGCAGTATTCACCTTCTAAAATATGGATGATCGACAGATTGCACATCCAGCGTGAAATTCACAATAGTATTATCATGACAATAGACCCGAGTGGCGAGGATGGGACGGCCGGAGCAGGAAAAAACCCAAAGGTCTTCCGTGATGACGAGCACACTAGTGGACACATCAATTTAGACTTAAATATTTTATTTATTTTTACAAAGTGAGAACATTAAAACAGCAGACAGCGCTCGAAACCCAGATCTGCAGCCTCAGTTAAAAAAAACATCAAAGGTGCAATGTCTCATTTCATATTCAAACAGGCGAGCATTGTTTTACTTTTATGTTTTACGCATTCTTTTTTAAATCTCTTTGTAAGATGTGAATATGTGTCTGCCACAAACCTTGCAATTGAAGGAAACAAACTTTTTTAAAGCAAGAATGCTATCACACACAAATGTGTATATTTCATTAATATAATGTGATAGGTCTGAAACATTACACTACAATTTGAGCGTCTTTTGATCAGAACAAAATGTCAATATAATACTTAAATAATAAAACAATCCTCCGGGGCCTTGTAATGTGCTCGATAGTGAATCACCGTGAATGTGTCGCATTTTGTTGCAGATTTTCTGGCAT